TTACACAAAACAGCATTCGTTGAGCTCATTTTTCCAATAGGACTGAAAATAAAGGAATTCGAGAGTAGGGATTTATCGTAAGTATAGACGATTACAGACGAATTCTCTCAGCACTCTTTGGATTCCTAAAGATCGATCCAATTACCTGAAGAGAAATCTTCACTTAACTATCTTCATTAATATTATCATATCAAAGACTTAATATCGTGCCCATAATTCCTCGTCAATCGGGAGTCATCTTCTTTTGAATTCTGATTCAGAATAATAGAATGAATGTATTTTTTTCGTTCTAGGTTCATATTGGTTGTTTGGAACGTTCGGAGTTGTCCAATTCGAGATGCATGGATACAGCGACTTTTGTGATGAGGTAACTTATTGTTGTGTGTTTGTGATCATAATGCTTACTTATCTCGTTTTGTTCCTATTATCGGTTTGTTTTTGTGTTTTTTGTGCGATCATCTGTTGGAAGCTGAAAATGGATCGTAATCAATATCGCTCACCGAATACCGAAAATCTACAGATCTCGTCATTGTGAATGAATATACCTGAGCCTAATATCATAGCAGTTGCTCATTGAATGTACCATATTATTGTAATTATTGTAATTGAGTCGTTTATTCTGTTCTGATTTTTAAGAATAAAATCATTCAATTTTGAAGTGAATATTCATTAACATTATCATATCAAAGAGGTATTATCGATGATACAGTGGCACGACGTCTGAATGCCGAGTGAATTCTTTGCTGGTTAGCTGTTNTTCAATTGGAACGCTGATTCCGGTTATGACCGAAACTGCAGTAAACAGCACTCGACAAGATAAGAAAATATTAGGGAAGGTATTCACTGTACGAAAGGATTCCGAAAAAAATGTGGCTAAAAACATTCTGCAGTGCACCATCTATAGACTCTCATTCTAAATAGACGTGCTTTTTGTTGTCATTCCGTTCGATTTATTTTACACGATGAATTTCGCCTTCCATTCGCATCTTATTTCTCTGTATAATATTTCCAATGCTTTGAACAATGTTGTGGGGAACAACTTCAATAAAAATGGATTTATTCTTAATTGATGATTAACTCACTGACCTTCTCCGAATAATGACGATCAAACTGAATATTTTGATACGTCCCATCCCTGATAATACTATACATAAGCTGATATCACATTCTTCTGAAATGTGCAGAATCAGTTCCTTTGAAATCTCTTCGTTTAGCGTAAAACTGTCGGGAACCCATTGCATTCAGCTTGAGCTGGATTAATCTTAACCTAGGCTAAGGCTTAGTCTAACGCCTGACTTCGCCTGCGCCCAGGTGCTCAGGATAATGTTTGGCCTCATTCTAGCGCTCATTTTAACCGCTTGAGTCAGGTTCTGAAGGGTTACCAAATTTTTTATCATTTCTTCGATAACTTCGAACAAAAGCTGCGTGCTCACTGGAAGTTGATCATGTTTTATGCATTTTTATGCAGGAAGTGTAATTTTTGGATGACACATCAATAAAATTGGCATAACAGAATGTGTACAAAACAATTTTTTTCGGTCCAGCAAACTAACACTGTTGCGATCGGTTGAATGCCTTTTTTCTCATCATTCGCACGGCTTATCACTGATTTGACATTTTCCGGTTCCAGGCAAATTCCTGAAAGGTATTTCACAAATTAACATCCATTGACACTATGATACCACTGTGGAACGTTTGCACATGTTTGAGATTTCCTTTCATTTTATTTGAGCATAAAAACATTTCGTATCGATTCACTGACGAGATAACCAACCAACACACAAGCGCAACGCAAACGCACTTTGGTCGTTCATTTAACGATCGACGAAGTTATATTACCAGTCACGGCTTGTCTTCAAGCAGCCGTACACAAAACACACTTTTTAAGTGCAAATTTCATGATTATTTGTTATTTATTCACTTTGAATCATTGCTGCAAAATTTTGAAAATCGTGTTCAATCATGAATTATTTTGCACGGTTATGACGGCAATTTATTGGAGACCGCTTCACCAAAATTTTCATTTTCATCTCCTTTTTGTAGCTGATTATCAATTCTCAATTCACTGAGTTTCGTGCGATTTTTAGACGTTTCTCAGCAGTTTTCAGTAGTCAAGTTTGATTTTTACTTCGCTGTCGATGTTCGCTTTGGGAAACAACGTCAAATTCTGAATGATTTAACCCTAAATTTGCGATTTTACAGTTGTTTCTCTCGCAGTTCTTATTAGTGTATCCTTCAAGAGAATTTATTTGGTGTGATTTATTTCGAAGTCAGACGACGTTGATGTTCACATTTGTCGGAGGTGATTTATTTTGAGATGCACTTCATTAAAGCACATTGTTAAATGACATCGTTCGTTCAGATAATCAAAAAGTTTGTGTGCGATGCCAAAACGATCACATGACACCGATGATAGTGAAGCAACAGGCCAAGAAATAATCCCAAAAAAGATGTTTAATTGCGGTGAAATCGTCGCACAGACCAAACTTCTTCCATTCGCGTCGAAATATCAGTTCATTGATAAACGTTATCGATTCAAAAAGAGGTAAAATTTCACGTTTTCAATCCCTTCGACGATATTTCAAAATAATGGAACATTGAATTCGCTTCGTACAGATCTGAAACGATTTCCATCGCGATTCGTCTGAAATCAGTGAATAATTCAGATGGATAAACGGTTGTCAATGCATGGATTTTCCACTGTCACAAAATATATACGAACAACCGTGCGGTTATGGCAGGTTGATACCGAAACCGAATCCTCCGGTGCCTAGCAATGAGTTTGCGCCTGTTAAGGTTAGTCGAATGTGATCTACTTTTGTTTGATTCACTTTGAAGAATGAACTTAGCGTCAAGGC